AAAAGACTCATGGCTGTATTAGCTCAAAAGGGTGCTTCTACTAAATACTGAGCAAAGGGTCTGAATACTTATGACCATGTGATATTTCAGTTTTTCTTTTTTAATAAAAATGCAAAAATGTCAAAAATTCTGTGTTTTTCTGTCAATATGGGGTGCTGTGTGTACATTGAGGAAAAAAATGAAAAATGATTTTAGCATATGGCTGCAATATAACAAAGAGTGAAAAATTTAAGGGGGTCTGAATACTTTCCGTACCCACTGTATATGCTAGAAGAAATGAGAAACAGCATTAGCGAGTTGTTCATCAACCAAAGAGCTGATTCCTAAATCCAGACAATTCTGGTATAATCCCAAAATATTTTATTTAATTTATTTTCTGATACTGAGCAGGCAAGACAAAATTGCCTTGTTTTCATTTCATACTTGTGCTCTTCCATCCTCATAATTTATGGCAAGAAATCTAGGCAATTGAATGAGAAATGCTGTAATGGGGCATCACAACATGAGACCAACCAGTGTTGTTTCTTCGGGCACTGTACTTTTGGTTCATTCTTGTAACCTTATTTATATTGCAGTCCTTGTATGATAACAAGCCCCCTGGCCTTGAGACTATTACACATCTTTTCTGTCCTGTCAGTACATCCCTCCAGTTGCTTACATATGCTTAAATTTGGCCTTTATCAAGAAGGTTAGGATTCTTATTTAATTTTCGTGTGATACTGGTATCAGTCCAAAAGTGTTTGAGTGGCAAACAAGTACCATAATGAAAGACAGCGCTTCCTGCCTCTTCCATTGACAGGGTGATACTCTTTGGGGTTGTGGTTATGTTTTATGCAGATCAATGTCTGACTTGAGTGGCATGAAATATTACGTTCCTCTCTCTTCAGACTTGTACTGATGATTATTGTGCTGTTAGACATTTTTGCTTGGCATGCCAGTATAAACTAGTATAACTAAACACAACTGCACCCTCTTGTCTCTGCAGAATGCCATAGTGTCATTTAAAGAGCTGTGCGGCCTTTCAGCAGTGGCCAACCTGAAGCAGTGCATCTTGGCCCTTTCCCCTCGAATGACTGGACCTGACAACAGCCCCCTTGTGCTGTTCAACCTCAGTGACCAGTACCCCAACTTGGAGCCCCAAGGCCTGCTACCAGAGGTCCTCAAGAAAGTCATCGCCACCTATGACATGGTAAGTCATAGCCTGAAAAAGCTGTTCACTTCATTTGCACAGTAATCACCTGTAAACAAAAGTGATAAATCCAGTAAACTGCCTTAATGACACAAAAAGATACTTTACTGATCTGCGTGGGTAAAATATACAAAAGGAAATTTTACATTCAGTTAACAAGAGAAAAAGGTACTGAGCAACAAATCAGTAGACATGATACAATAGGATGTTTTGACTTAAATGTGCTTTTTCTTTCTCGTCCATCCTCATGGTTCTTGCGCACAAAGGAAAACTTTATTTCTTAATGTAAGTACTGTAGTTTACAGGGGATTTGACAGTGTTGCTATCTATCAGTGCATGTGTCTGCCGCCCATCAAGGGAAAATGAAGACCCATAAACTAACTAGCTTTTGACTCCAATCAGATCAATACCTTGGCTTTCCTGGACTTAGTGGAGACATAGAGAAATGGATGGTTAATGGGGCTGGAGCTCTGTTAAATAATAAAATCAATGTTCACAAGTTATGCAACATGCCACTGAGGCTGTTCCCAGACAACGGCATTACCCTTAACATATCCTGCTCTTTTACATTGATCCTTGGCACGTTATGAGTAAGTTGATTTTCCAGCACTGTTTTAGGCAGGAGGCTGAGATCCCCTGTTAACAAAAAAAAAAAAAAAAAAAAAAAAAAAAAAAAACACTGGCAGAAGTAGAGCAACAAGTGATCTACTAATAATTTAGGATCTCATAATGCTAATTTTATTAGGTTTATTAATTTCTGTGCTTTTGGCTGTTGTATTATTTTCCCAGAATATTTATTAAAGAGTAAGACAGTCATTGTTCAACATCACAGTCTAAACCCTGCTGTTTTTGTTAACACATTTACAGTTTGTATATGGTGTCAGAGATGACACAGTGTAAGGTTGTCTTCATATTAGTGAGGGTACACATGGTGTTGGCATCATCATTTTATTTGCTATTTTTGTAATGTGTTCTGACAGTTGAGTGGCGCATTGTTACAAAAGTTGAGCAAACAGTACATGGAGAAACAATATGAAGAGATAAATAATGACACAGTTAAGTGTTATCTGCTTCCAACCCTGTTATTTACAGTATTGTTCAAAATAATAGCAGTACAATGTGACTAACCAGAATAATCCAGGTTTTTAGTATATTTTTTATTGCTACATGGCAAACAAGTTACCAGTAGGTGCAGTAGATTCTCAGAAAGCAAACAAGACCCAGCATTCATGATATGCACGCTCTTAAGGCTGTGAAATTGGGCAATTAGTTGAAAGGGGTGTGTTCAAAAAAATAGCAGTGTCTGCCGTTGACTGTACAAACACAAAACTATGTTGTACAAACGTTTTTGTTTCTAGGATTTAGCAATCCTGTGAATCACTAAACTAATATTTAGTTGTATGACCACAGTTTGTTATAACTGCTTCACATCTGTGTGGCATGGAGTCAACCAACTTGTGGCACCTTTCAGCTGTTATTCCACTCCATGATTCTTTAACAACATTCCACAATTCATTTACATTTCTTGGTTTTGCTTCAGAAACAGCATTTTTGATATCACCCCACAAGTTCTCGATTGGATTAAGGTCCGGGGATTGGGCTGGCCACTCCATAACATTAATTTTGTTGGTTTGGAACCAAGACTTTGCTCGTTTACTAGTGTGTTTGGGGTCATTGTCTTGTTGAAACAACCATTTCAAGGGCATGTCCTCTTCAGCATAAGGCAACATGACCTCTTCAAGTATTTTGACATATGCAAACTGATCCATGATCCCTGGTATGCGATAAATAGGCCCAACACCATAGTAGGAGAAACATGCCCATATCATGATGCTTGCACCACCATGCTTCACTGTCTTCACTGTGTACTGTGGCTTGAATTCAGAGTTTGGGGGTCGTCTCACAAACTGTCTGTGGCCCTTGGACCCAAAAAGAACAATTTTACTCTCATCAGTCCACAAAATGTTCCTCCATTTCTCTTTAGGCCAGTTGATGTGTTCTTTGGCAAATTGTAACCTCTTCTGCACGTGCCTTTTTTTTAACAGAGGGACTTTGCGGGGGATTCTTGAAAATAGATTAGCTTCACACAGACGTCTTCTAACTGTCACAGTACTTACAGGTAACTCCAGACTGTCTTTGATCATCCTGGAGCTGATCATTGGCTGGGCCTTTGCCATTCTGGTTATTCTTCGATCCATTTTGATGGTTGTCTTCCGTTTTCTTCCACGTCTCTCTGGTTTTGCTCTCCATTTTAAGGCATTGGAGATCATTTTAGCTGAACAGCCTATAATTTTTTGCACCTCTTTATAGGTTTTCCCCTCTCCAATCAACTTTTTAATCAAAGTACGCTGTTCTTCTGAACAATGTCTTGAACGACCCATTTTCCTCAGGCTTTCAAATGCATGTTCAACAAGTGCTGGCTTCATCCTTAAATAGGGGCCACCTGATTCACACCTGTTATTTCACAAAATTGATGACCTCACTGATTGAATGCCACACTGCTATTTTTTTAACACACCCCTTTCAACTAATTGCCCAATTGCACAGCCTTAAGAGCGTGCATATCATGAATGCTGGGTCTTGTTTGCTTTCTGAGAATCTACTGCACCTACTGGTAACTTGTTTGCCATGTAGCAATAAAAAATATACTAAAAACCTGGATTATTCTGGTTAGTCACATTGTACTGCTATTATTGTGAGCAATACTGTAGGTTGTGCTGCTTGTTGTGTGAGTGGTGTTGTTTTACCTGGATTGTTAGTTGCACAAATCATACATGACTGACAATATTTCTGAGCATAGGTAGAGAACCCTTTTGTGAACCAGTGCACACTTTATCCCAGAGACTCAGAGAAAAGGGGGATGACGTAGGCTAGACCAATTAAGGTGACTGGTCTGCTCTGTTTGGATTTGGGAGTGGAGGGCTAGGTAATTGGCTCTGTTGGGAAGCGTTCCAGGAAAACTGAGTTTGAGGGGATGAAAGGAGAAAATGACTTGTTTGAGGACCAAATCTGAAATTAAGAGCAAGTGGCCAGGCTATAGCTTGAGCAGACAGAGAGCAAATACAGAAACATAAAAGAAAGGATGAGAGGTATAGTGTTGTACAAAATATACAGAATAGTGCAATTAGAAATTTTAGGCACTGTGTCAAATTCTACTCCTGAGAGTAAAGTCTTTTGCTTCCTATAAGGTAAACATGGAATCCAGGTCTCAGTCCCTGCCCTTATGTGTAGAAAAAGAGGTGGAAGACCTCAGAACAATGTCAGCCTGTGGTCTTAGATAACATTATCTGATCTGTGGTGTTTAAAGATGCATTCTTTAATTTTTACTAGGTATATGCACATTGGTGTCCAACATCACCTTAAAAATAAACAAGCATTTGTCTTTGTTAAATGCAGATAATAATAATAATAATAGAACTAAACATACCATTTACAGGAAGCAGTCTTTAGTGTCCAACGGGGCACAATCCACCCACTTACCTTAGAAGGTGCCTTAAAATACATCTGAAATGCTGCATCTGCCACCAAGACAGTAATTTCTTCACCCATCAGGGAAGTAATCACAGTGTGTGGGACAGCTCTAAGTACCATGACTGCAGCTGCAGAGTGACACAAACAGCCACAATCACTTAGTCATGACTGCTTGTAGTTTAACATGGCAATTCATTACATGGGTTTGGGAGATGGCATCTGTCCCCCATAAAGTACACAATATCAGAGGATGGACTCTATGTAATTATACTTGAAAAAAGGCAGGATAATCATATTGTCTTTCAGAAAATCCCTCCACTTGTCCATATCCTCACTAATATGTGTTATATAGCTAAACTGATGCTATATGTCAAATTGAAAACTTATGGAGTTAATCATATAAACTTGATTTTTCATACTATAAGAACAGAGTCTGTCTGATTCAATGACTCTTTAGTGAAGCAGATGAAGGAAAAAATATTTCAGTACATGTTGATGAGAAAATTACAGCCAACAACAAAACTGTTAGAGACAATCTTCAGTGTTAGTCTGAGTTGCTGATAAACTGTGTTCTGAAAACTGTTGACAAATCTAATCAAAAGACCAAAACCTCGTTTGACTGTGTTGGTTTGACTCAGTACTTTCTGACTACCTGATCCAGTCTGTGGAGCTCAGCCCCAAACATGTTGGTTCTTACAGACAGGCATTAATCTTAAAAAAAACAAAAAAAAAAACAAGTGACTGGACTATGGTTTAATTTTATACCCTGCATCACCTACAGATGAGACATTTAAGCTTTTAGCTAAAAGAGAGAATGATCCAGAGGGTCTGTCAGGCACCCTGTTCACTCAGTACGTATTTACCTCTATCTATGACAGGCTACATATGCTTCATCAACCTCCTGAAACACCGCTGTCCAGTCGTCATCCTGTAAGGAACCAAAGCTTTTTTTTTTTAAGGGTGGTGTGGGGAGACTGAGGTGTTGATATTTAATATGTAAATGGTTTTCCCCAGAACCTTTGAGTCTGCCTTCATGGCCACCATGAGAGTTTTAACAGTCTGCAGGTCAGCAGAATTTGTGCCCCTAATTAAGGCTCAGCATAACACCAGAGGAGCTAAACTTGGCGTCTTTCACAGCTGCAAATTTACAGATGGCGCAATAGTGGTTTGCTTCAAAATGACTCATGCCTACAGTTTACTCTCATCATCATCAAATTAACTTAATTATCTGCCTTTTCTCTTGGACATGCTATCATTAGAATTGATGTTTATGTTTTTCAAGTTAAGGATAAGGATAATCACCTTTATTGGCCAAGTATGTTACACACAAGGAATTTGTTTCCGGTACAGAACCAAGGCGCCAACTCAACCGATGGCTCTAACCATCGGGGGCAACTTGGGGGTTCAGTGTCTGGCCCAAGGACACTTCGACATGTGGACTGCAGGCACCGAGATTCAAACCTTCAACCTTCCGGTTGGGAGACGACGGCTCTACCCACTGCACTACTGTCGCCTCCAGTTATTGTTCCCGTTTGGAAAAACAAAGGAACAAACAAAAAACTTAACTTTTAATAAACACCCTAATTGCTCGTGTCTCCTTCCCTCTAATTTTGACTTTCAGAAATGCAATTCAGCGACCTCGCCCACCAATGTGCCTGTAATAACAGCTTGTTTTTCAGAGCCCTCCCTGAATAGAAACACCCATCCACCAGACAGAGTGCGCTCCCTGCTTTATTGAGAGATGCCAGTTTTGCTGATGAGAAAAATGCATGTAAATACGAACAATATGTTTGTCTCCTTTCAGGTGATCCAGACTAGCAAGACGCTGCTAGAGAACTCTGAGGGGGTGTACGAAAGAATTCTTCAAACCCAAAAAACAGGTGAGAGTTGGTAAGAAGGCAAAGGAGAAAACTATAAAAGGCAGTGATTCGTGACACTATTAGCCAGCCCCCAGCCAACTGAAGCTATGAAACAGATGAATCACATTAGATCTTATTATGCTTTATTATACTTTGCTTTGCACAACAGGAATTCCCATTTGATTCATGTTCAAGTATATGACCCAGCTCTGAAAGCTGTGGTTCAAACAGAAGGTGTTAAAATTCATACCAGTCTCAGGCTGTGCTGTGTTCTAGCATGGTTTAAGGTTCAGAGAGAGGAGTGACCTGGGCAAAGACAACATCAAAGCTAACAGCTTGCACATCATCTTTAGGTCCCACCGGATGCATTATACCAGTTAGAGGGTGTTCAGACTGTGGTAAAATGGAACTCTCCTGCTGTGTTTTTACACAAGTGGCTGCATTGGTCAGGGAGTGAGGATGTGCAGGGGGAGAGTTTTAGGCGTGTACGATACAGCCACATTGTGACAAGTCAACCTGAATGGCTTCATTCACATTTCCAGTCCAGAGGTTTCCATTGTGTTTTGGTTAGCCAAGCTGTTAATATAGCCTACTCTACCATAGCACGAATTTCTGCCACTGGTGCCGACATTGATAGAAATGAATGGAGAGGGCTGTGTTTTTTCATTTCTTTGAAACTTAGTCTGAACAGTCCCAGATCCCAGATTTCTAGTTTATTGTAACTTACAGACAGGGATATAGTTGATATATTCACCTTTTCTGGCAAGCAAATCAGTGAAGGCTGCTGGATTCAAGACTATGCACACAAGCAGTTGCTCTCTGGTGTGTATTATCAGTGCTCCTGTTTTAAGAGGTCAGTTTTTATTCTTCAACAATTCTTGTATTATGTAACACGTACAGTCTACCAGACATATGGATAAACCAGGTAATGAGAAGCAATTCGATTTTGACATTAATGTGCTTCATGCACTTTCTGGCAATGAATCCATCTAAGTAGTAGAGAAAGCTCATTTATCACTGAGTAGACCTGCCTGAAGCACTAAGTGAGAGTGGAAGGGACCAGAAATGGACTGTCATTACCACGGCTCAGCTTTATTGGTTTCCAGATGGATGTCTTATAAAATATTAATTTGCTATTGTCTTGGCACATCAGGGAGAAGGAGGACTGTGTCTTTTAACCAGTGTGAATCAAAGGCACGGTGCTTGTTTATTCCTTTGGTGTTTTCAGTTCTGCTACCAATTAGCAGCTAGTGGGATAAAGATGTGCTTGAACCTAGTGGTGTCAGAAAGATTCCCTATAGCCATCTAATTGTATTTTCAGGGCCACTTGCTCTTTTGATAGCAGTTCACAATATGCAAATGTGTTGGCTCCACACATTACTGTTACACACTGTTTGATTAAGAGAGGACGTGCTAGTGTGCGTTGCCAGCTACCTGTTGCTCATCTTCCATTGGTCTTACATAACTTACTCTTATTAAATAATTCAAAATATTTATACCTGAAGGAGATGACTGCCACAGGGCTTTTTCTACTTCATTACTTAGTCATATAAAAAAACAACAGGATCTGATGTAACTATCCTTTGTGCTACACAGTAGGTTACAGATAAATGCCCGGTCAGAGTGAATCATTCTTTTATGTCAAACAATAGTCAAATAAATAACACAGCTGCGAAAATGCTCCAGTAGACCAAACCCTTTTTTCCAAAAGCTTCCACAGAAGCTTTGTGGGGACTCTGATCGCACAGCACCATTATATACAATAATCTAAAATCAGATAACAATTTCAAAGTACAACACAACAGATCTCAAACTGATGAACTTGAACCTTGATTTATTTTCCACCCTGAAGTGACAATTTTATCCCAGTGGTGTGTGTTCGTGCGCACTCATTTGTATGTCACTGTGCATGCAATGTGGTTTCATGCACTTGTCTGTTTAGAAACTGGGTCAGTGCAAACCCATTTCCCCCTTTATAGCAGACAGAATGTTCCAGCAGCAGCAAATGTATAAATTGAGAATAATCTAAGAATCTATAAGAATAATCTATCACAACAGCTCATACAGGGCTCACTTCCCCCTCAAGAAAAAAACCCTACACAAAGGCAGTGTCAGACATGGATGTCACTTTCCTCACCTGACACTCATTTAGGCTCCACTTGACATTCAGCGAGGCTAGATGGCTAAACCTGCTGCAGAAAAACAAGAACAGTACAGAAGATGTTCTTAAATGCCAAGTGCAAAATTATGGTGTTCTGCTGTACAGGGAGCTGCAGTGACATTATGCAGAGCACAAAGCCAAGAGCTAAAGTTTGTGTTACATACATTAAATGTGCATAAGATTTTACACATTGTCTGATAAACCGTGTGAAAACAGGACAGGCTATGATGTTTCTTACAGTTCTTCTTTTGTTATTTCAGCTTCTTTACCATTCATTCATTCATTCATTCATTTTCTACCGTTTGTTCCCTGAGCGGGGTCACGGGTGAGGCCGGAGCCAATCCCGGCCGGCAATCGGGCGAAGGCGGGGTACACCCTGGACAGGTCGCTTCTCTACCATGTGTTGTCAAAATACGGTCTGTGAGTTAGCCCTGTTGAATCGTGCAATAAGAGATTTTTGAACTGCATGTACAGTCATGTCACTAATCCAGCCATGGGGAAGCTGTTGGCAGCCAAGTCTGAAACTGTGGCTGTCAGACTGAAGAGGTGGTGTCTTTTGCACAGAGTGTGTGGAAAAGAAAGAGCAAAAACTAGGGTTAACATGGGTTTGGCTTTTTGAGATGGAGTGTGTTAAAAGCAGCCAAAGGACTGAGATTTGATTTGGTGTTCTTTCTTCTGGATGTGTTAACATCTAAAGCTAATGTTTTTTTTTTTTATAACGGTGACCTAGCATGGTCGTGATTTTACCATTTTATTCAATTCAGTTCAATTCATTTTATTTGTATAAGAAACAAATCACAACAATTAACTCGGGGCACCTTCTCTAGACGCTACTGCTACCGCCACCGCCACCACTACTACTACTGTTATTACCATTATTATTATTTTATTATAGAGAAAAAACAAATTGAATTGTTTTTTTTTTCTTTTCAATTTTAGAGTAATTCAAGCTTTGTGTAATGTTAGCCAGCTAATGCTAGCTTTGGACTAGAGGCTGCCATTTGTACAGTTTGTCACAACCAGACAACTGTAGCTTATGTTGTAGCTTTAGGAAAAGAAAGGAAGGGGCAAAGAGCGGAGTGGTTTCTGGTATCAGTTTGTTTTGAGTCAGTCGACCCTTTAGCGGCTGAAAAGAATTTTGGCAGAGTAGCTTTGAAATATTTTTGCCTGTGCTGTATTCTAATTACAAGCTTGGTTTAAGGTTCAGAGAGAGGAGTGACCTGGACAAAGACAACATCAAAGCTAACAGCTTGCAGTCCATCTTTAGGTCCCACCAGATGCATTCTACCAGTTAGCGGGCGTTCAGACTGTGGTAAAACGGAGCTGGTCAGGGGGTGAGGATGTGCAGGGGGCATGTACGATGTTGTAGGCATGTACGATGCATCCATGCTGTGACAAGTCAACCTGAATGGCTTCATTCACATTTCCAGTCCAGAGGTTTCCATTGTGTTTTGGTTAGCCAAGCTGTTAATATAGCCTACTCTACTGTAGCACGAATTTCTGCCACCAGTGTGCCAACATTGATAGTTAAAACCACAGTTTAACATCCAGTAACAACGAAAATGAATGGCGTGTCGTTATGGTGCGTTAATTGTGACCCAAAATGGACCGTGAATAGCAGTGAAGGCTCATGCTAACAAAGTAAACAAAGTCTTCTTCCTGTGGCCGCCCACATCCAGTTTGGTCAGTGCAACACCTTTGCCAGATGATGTCACCATTCAGTGTGGTGCAATGAGGGTGAAAATAGCATGGAAGGTATCATCGGGGATTTTTTTTTAGGCCACATCGCCCAGCCCTAATAGAAGGTCACATATACCTTCAGTTAGAAGCTCATGCATAGTTCAGGCACAGTTGTAAGGTCTGAAGAGACTTGTGAAATCATTAAGCCAGTCAGTTGAGTTTGTAGCAAAACCTTTTACAGTGGTTGCAGATTGTCTTTTACAGCATATGATAATTCAAAGTAGAACTGAAGTGACATTCATTACAAGATAATTAAAACATTTCAAAATGCAGCTGCATTGTTTTGCATTTTGTGACTTGTCATACTATTTTTCCAGTCATTCATCATTGAAGATTTCTTTAAAATTGTTACTCTTGTGAACCTAATATTGTATATTCTCTCATGAACTGTGTGTATTGTCACACCCCTAGATGTGATGCATTTTTCACACTTCATTCAGTAAGCGTTTACTCAAGAAAATAACCATCACATTAATTGATAATTGCAGCCGCGGGTAGTGAGCAACTGCAGTCACCTGTTGTTGAAGGAATGATGGCTTATCAGTCACAGAATAATTCAGGTTATACCCCTCTGATCTGTAACTCCATACTGTAGCTGTTTAGATGCACGAGCATCAGCCTTTACTGCACAGTTGCTGTTTTGCTGAGAATGAGCTTCCCCCTTTTATTTCCTCCCAGACTCCATAAAGTGTTGCTAGGCAACCTCCAGTGTGAGTTAACTCCGTGTGTGTGTGTGAGGAAGCTGTGCACCTTCAGCGGAGTCACATTTCGCATGTAGTTGTAGAATAGAGACATGATTTTGGAGAGAAAAGTAATTTTACATGTGGTTGAAACACAAAATGGAAAAACAGTAAAAGCGCTTGTGTGACGTAGAGCAGTGATGTGATGTCTGGTTCAAAGATGGTAATGTCAGTTGTTTGAGGGTGTATTCATACCTGAGGTCTGGTGGCAGACTTGTATCCTCAGCAGAAAGGCTCTCAAATAGCCCAGTCCCAAACCTATTATAGCGATTTCACATGAAGGACATCTGTCTCATGTGCACACCATGTTTCCAGGGCTACAGCACCAACAAGAGTCAGGACCAACTCTAGCTGATGTCAGCAGAAATGTGTTTGTTCTCAGTAGTTCCCAGTGCAGAGGTGCGATACTCAGTTTTGGGCATTGTGCATAGCAGTAACTCTGGTTTATTTACATCACAGCCTGGAGCTGCTGCAGTGTCAGTGCTCCTCTGTAAAGCAGACTCAACACTAAACATGCCATTACTCAGACACAGTCATGATAGGAAAAAAGTAAGGGGGAGGAAGAGAGGGGGTGGGAAAGCTCCTCATGAGACAAATCCCTCCTCTGTCTCATGCTAATCCACAGTGAAAGAACGTCATGTCTGTCTGTCTACACTGCATCTCTCCTCTGCTGCTCTGATTCTCTCTCATCCTGCTTCACTGGTTCCTTCAATTCTTGCCGTTTTCTTGTTGACTTGCCAGTTTTACAATACTCCTGTCCCTTGACATCCCAATGACACTTTGTTTAAATGAACCACTATGCTTTGTCCTCTGCTTACTAACATTTTACTGCAGGATATAGATTTAACATTAACAGTGAAGCATGGCCTTGCTGAAGGAAGGCATGTGCACAACAGAAAGTATTTGCAATCTTATTCTTTTGGTCACTACAAGTCTGTTATTTATCGAATTTGCTTATTTTATTCAACAGTCCAAAATGCAAAAATATTTAGTTGATATCAGGGCTGTTGCTAACGATTATTTTTCTGTTGAATAATCTAACGATAATTTTTTCGATTAGTCGAATAATCGTGTATATATATATA